GCCCGAGTGTGACTTATCCCGAGATACCAAAGTATGCCAAAGATTGAAAAACTTTGCTATTCCAATTAATTGTATTTGTATTTCCAATGAATAAAAATTTGTATAGAAGATTGTGGCTAAGAAATTACAATTAAAATGGAGAAAACTGTACCATATATTCTTTTTCTTTAGTTTTAGTTTTAGCATGGAGGTATAAAATTAGGAACCTTCATGGTTTTAGGCAGGGGATGCAATGTATACCCTTCTTGCTTTTACCATCCACCACTGATCAAGGGTTTTTTTTTTTAAATTGTGTAAATGTAATAACCATAGTCTATACTTAATAAATGTACAGTAAATAAATAGTGATAATATTTTCAATAATAATTGTAATTGCAATAATGAATAATACATAAAAAAAAAATGAAAAAGCAGTTTATATTTTTAAAATGATGAAATTGTAAATATATATTTTGGTATCATTTTTTTGTTTGTTTGAATGGATATTTAGATTTCTTGAATTTTTGTACTGCATTAACTTTCAACTTTTTTGCTTTTTGTACTTTTTATCGTATACCTAAATAAATCGATTATAGAGTCTACTAATATGTAGAAATTTTTATTCTTTAAATTTTTTTTTTGGTAGTAATGGGATGGTTTAATGCTTTAAATTTATGTAATTAGGAAGAAATACATATATCATTTTTGAATATTCCAAGGCAATGGCAGGTATAGTAAAAATTAGGAAAAACATTTTGTTTTCAGAAATTTCCAATTTTTTTGTTTGCAGCAGGTGCGCTAATTAACCAAAATAAAATGTTATTTTTATTTGAAATCTTCAATATTTGTGGGCAGTGGGTTCGTCAACAGGGTATAAAATAAGTCTTGCCTAATTACATATATGTTTCATGTACCGGAAATCACTTTTTCTAAACTGGGATTCCTGCATTACATTCCTTCATATAAGTTGTCGCAAAAAATGTGTTACAAAGTATAATCATACCTGGAACAAGAGCTTTGCTTTGCCTTTTATTTAGTCTACGTTCATAACTATCATCATAATATGCCCGTTCATATTTTCCTTCTGAAAAAAACAATTCAATAGAAAACTACTGTCAATCACCATTGGGATTTGAACCAGAGAACTTTTGCTTACAAAGCGAATATCATATTACCAACTGGCCCACGAATGCATTTTTAGTTATGTGCGAGCCAGTAGCCACTGGGCGCCTTCAATCATTGTTCCTTTAGATTATGACGAACCATTCTGGAACGTTTCTTTCAGATCCACTGATCAGTTTTTGAGATATTTAGGTCTGCGACGTTAGCACTTTAAAAGACACCACAAAATCGTAACCTAAATTTGCGCTTCACCTAAATTTAATAATAGGGAACTTGTGATTGCACAAGGTAGTGGGCACTGATCTCTACTACTATTATAAGTTTGCTCATTGGACAATCATTGTACAGAAATAAGTGAAGCCACCGATGCCGTGTTGGGGAGCCAGTGTGGCATACCAGTTTTATAGACAATGTTTAAGTTATTGTTACTTTTTTTAAAACTGGTACGTGCATAGAGCTATTAAAAAAAATTATTATAAGTCTATGGTTATGTCACATTAATATTTGCAAATGGTGCCTGCAGTGGCCAAGACACAGTAATTTTTTTTATTTGGCCTTGTGTATTGTCACTACAAGGTGGGTGTGGCTAGTAGGTGAAAGATTTGTAATAAAATTGTTTCCTACAAAAATAGCTGTATGGCCAGGAATACTGACCAGATAAACAGAAGAAAACAATTTTTACATTTTTACTAATAACATATTATTGCAATTTTTAACTTCTTGCTTCAGGCCTTTTTATCTATCTCGTTGTAAATTGGTAAATTCATGTTTTTAATGTTTGATGTTTGTAATATTTTTCTTTTTAATGATGCCAAATAAATTCAATTGAATTGAAAACAATTATTCAGTATCTCTCCTATAATTTTGTTTGTGTTACATTACCAGTGATCCCAAGTATCCTGCAAGATGTGGGAAAAATCTCCTAGAAATTGGAATGGCCTCCTGCAATCCACAAGCAAACAAAAGAATCGAAAAAATCCTTCATATCGTTTGCATAAAAACATACCTGAAACAGGAGCTGCGCTTAGTGCAGGTGGTGGTGGAGGAGGCATTCGACTCTGTTGTTGTGCTGGTGGTGGCGGGTGTGGAAGGCTGCCACTAGATCCAGGCGGCGGAGAGGGAGGAGGAGGAGCTACATCGTATTTACGTGTGCTACTACGTCGACGTAGTTGTGCAGAAGGACGACGATAGGCTAGCACTTCTGGAAATCAAAATTGAAATTTATGTTATTTTTCACCTATTTCCGTAATTTTTAGATATGATCTCACTAACAATGCATCAAATTTCATGGTGTGACCTTTAAATTGTTGGACTTGGTCTTCTGCATCTGTCGCCGTTATCATTTGTTATTTTGCATTTCATTGTCTCATTCTCAAGATGTACCTTTTAATGTAAAGGTAGAATCAGCCAATAACCTAACCCTTGATGATGTTTTGTGCAAGTAAGGTGTAATCATAGTGCGCCCTCTGGTGGTGGGTCTTGATTATGCTATAGAGAGATGAAGTGAGAAGAAGAGTGTGCGCACATACTCTTGGAGGCAGCACTTCCATTCCAGCGTTAAATTGGCTATTCTAATGCCACCACGCGGTTGGAACTATAGCAAACTTAAGCATTGTACGGTATGCTTTACTCACTTCCATTGACTCACTGAATATGCGATAGGCTGATAAAGAAAACCAGTCAAGCAGAAATTCTAAGCAGCTGATAGAGTATGACGCGATAAGCCCGAGTGTGACTTATCCCGAGATACCAAAGTATGCCAAAGATTGAAAAACTTTGCTATTCCAATTAATTGTATTTGTATTTCCAATGAATAAAAATTTGTATAGAAGATTGTGGCTAAGAAATTCCAAGTAAAACGGAGAAACTGTACCATATATTCTTTTTCTTTAGTTTTAGTTTTAGCATGGAGGTATAAAATTAGGAATCTTCATGGTTTTAGGTAGGGGATACACTGTATACCCTTCTTGCTTTTACCATCCACCACTGATCAAGGCTTATGGGTCATTTGTTGTAATACTTTAAAAAAATTGTGTAAATGTAATAACCATAGTCTATACTTAATAAATGTACAGTAAATAAATGGTAATAATATTTTCAATAATAATTGTAATTGCAATAATGAATAATACAGGAAAAAAAAATGAAAAAGAAGTTTATATTTTTAAAATGATGAAATTGTAAATATATATTTTGATATCATTTTTTTGTTTGTTTGAATGCATATTTAGATTTCTTGAATTTTTGTACTGCAATAACTTTCGACTTTTTTGCTTTTTGTACTTTTTACCGTATACCTAAATAAATAAATAAAAAATAAATAAATAAAAAACAAACTATTTTTAAATGAGAATGTTAGTCAACTCAATCACTAATATGAAATTTTAAAATATATTATTTTTTAATTATTTATTAATATATACTTTGATTGTATAAAATTTAAAGTGATGATACTTCAAATGATTTTATTGTACATGAATAAAAAAGTGGTACTTGTTTACAATTGTCAACTTTTACTAAATGTATAATATGGACGAAAACTGACAGGCCGTGAATGATGTGCAATAGAATTTGTTCCATTTAAAAATACCTGCATAGAAAGGAATATTTACTAGAATAATAAAAAAAAAGAAGAAAACAATAAACCCATTCCACGAGGTTTGTTTAGAGTTGGACACTTGACAGACATATAGTAAGAATAGCTATGGAGAATTTACAATGCGATAAGTGTGGAAGTATACGAAAAGGTAATGTTAATGGTTGCAAAAACAAATGCCGACAATTAATTTGAGAAATAGTTGGCAAAGAAAGGCACTAGGATTGTGAAAAATAGTGTATTTACTGCAAATTTTAGTGTTCTCTGTGCTTCATATGCTTTGAAATGTATGTGCTCATTCGTAAAACTTAGCTGGCCTAGAAGTTGTAGCGTGTGAAAATCACATTTCGCGGATCGAAGACACTTTTGCACACCTAAACAGGCTCTAGGTATGCAGGGGTCTTATTTTTATACCTCCCTGCTAAGACTGTCATTTCTTAAAAATCTCAGTGTTTGGGGCCAGCATCTTTTGGAGCATTAACAAACCATTACGACAAAATTCTGAAGTTCAATTTACAATCAATTCGGTATAGTTTACTAGCATTTTAAATAACATTAATCAACATCTGCAACTATCTGCTGTAGCCTTTACATCAGAAACAATCAGAAGAAGCCACACGTTTTTCCTATTACTGAGCACATTACTCGTGCAGCCAGTTTACAATTTACACCTACTATACAGTAGGTGATATGACCAATAGTGCAATGGTCTATTAAGGATTGCCATCCAAAACCAGAATCTAATTCTCCACATTATAAGATTTAAAATGATGGTCATTAAATGGAATTGACAAAGTTATGATACAATACAATAAATGGGATTGCAAGCCTCATCATTCAATACATAAAACTGAACATTCCTTTTTTTTTGTGGTTAATGTGCAAAAGGTCAAACAAACTGGTATGTATCACTTCGTGAGATATTTCCTTTCTAGGTGCAGCAAAATAAAGTTAAATAGATTTAATCTCTTATAAGTGACGTATTCCAATCTGGGATCCCTGCGCTACATTCCTATATAGTTTGTCTGCAGAAAATTTAGATCATACCTGAAATATGAGGTTTGATGTGTATGGGTGACGATCCTGATGAAAGTGCACCACTTAGTCCAGGTGGTGGAGGAGGAGGAGGTACACCGGTTAGTGTTGGTAGTGTTGGAGGAATGCCGGCCCTCGGTAGTCCTGGTTTTGCAAAAGTGCCACTAAATGGTCGTGGTAATACATTATAAGATGATCTCATTGCTCCTAGTATCAATATAAAAAAAAATCTTTAATAATTGTGAGGGCTCAGCAAAAAATGAGTCATACAGTTATAAATTTAGAATTAACTGTATAAACCCCTGTACAGACTTTTTCTTTAACTGTTGTACGCCCATATATAGACATGATGTGCAGGCCCATAGGCAAAAAGAGGGGGGGATGGGGGTGCAGAAGGTGAGGTCTGTGAACATTTCTTTCTGCATCCCCACCCTCTATTTCTCCTGCTTTAGCTCCATAAACGATACCCAAATGAATGAAAATTTTAACAGAATATTACAAATTATGAGTTTCAGAAATCCACTTTTCGGAACTTCCAGGGGAGCCACCAATGTGTATGTGTCACTTGTTATTTAGACTTGCCACAAGTCTCCAATTTATTGATTTTTGCTGGTGTTAGAAACTTTCGGAAAGCGCCACGAGTGCCTATTTATAACAAGAAACTTTTTATGTTCTTGAATTTGAATCACAGAATCCAGAAGAAGCATAGTATGGAACGCTACTGGTGCAAAGAAGTAATATGGAACGCCATTGGTGCAAAAATCAATATATTTTTAATAGTTTTACTGATTAGGAGACATTTTAGGTACTGAAATCAAGTCTAGTTGTTATTTTACATTTGAAAATTTGTGTAATTGTAATATTGCATAGTCTATACATAATATGCAATAATCAAATCAGAATTTTTGTTAACTCAATCACACACACTTAAATTTACAACATAAAGAAGGAACTATATCAATAGATTGATTTACCAAATGGTCGTCCGTGTACTGCAGAACTCCCAAATGCAGTTGATGATTGTAAACTATCACTGGACACACCTGAATTTCAGAAAAAAAAATTGATAGAAAAATTAAAATGATGTATACATGGCATATGGTTTGATGGTAATTAATACGAAGCATGAATTCATCCTACTAAACCTCTTCAAAGTGTTAATACCCTAAACCCATCACCTTTGACTTACAGAGCAAAACTTAATATAAATTGATGGAATAACGAGCACACTGGTAAAATAGACAGAATTTAAATTACTAATAATATTATAAAAAAATATAAAATAATAAAAAATCTACAGTATTATTGATCTCTTTCAAAGGCTGTGACAAAAACATTTAACCAGATAAATTTACCAGATAAAGAAGGGATTATATCAATAGATTGATTTACCATATAGCCTTCCTCCTTCTGCAACAGGTGTCGATGAAAACCCTCCAAAATCTTGCGCTGTAGAACCCACAAATCCAGTTGACAACTGTGCAGCATTAGCTGAATTTCAGAAAAAAAACCAAAAACACTTGATAGAAAAATTTAATTGATGTAAACATGGCATATGTGGTTCGATAGTAATTAATACGTGAATTGATTCCTACTAAACCTGTTTAAAGTGTTAACATCCTAAGCTCATCATTAAATTCCGACTCACAGTGCGAGAGTCATTTGTAAATAGAACAGGATTTAGCCACTCCATTATTATAGTTAATAATAAATAGTTTAATGTTGGTGTGGCTGGTAGGTGAACCATTTGCTATAAAATTCTCACAATAGAACAATTATGCTTTGAAGCTGTAATAAAATTCAAATTCAATTTATATGCGCATTCTTTAATGGAATAACCAAACAAAAAAACAAAAAAAAAACTGGTTTATTGACCATTTTCAGAAATAAGACTTTGGGACATGATTATAGTCAAATATTAAACTTTATAGTAACTATTAATATTATTACTGTCATCAACAATTCTACATTTTACTAGTCTTGTCAGGAGTGGGGGGGGGGTGGGTATTGTCTGTCATTTGTTATGCCTTTTATATTTGTCAAAATAGAAAATCAATAAACAGGGCACAGCGTCATATTCGTTTAGCATGGATAAGAAAATCAAACTAACCGACGCCTTTAAAGTCATGTTTGCCTGTTTACAAACAGCATAAAATACAAACATACTCACTTGATCGCATTGGTTCCTATATAAGAACCAATAATAATAATAAGTAATACTAATTTGCAATTGAATCAACCTGAGGAGCTTGACAACAACGAAAGGAAACGGCCATGAAATTATACCATGAACCTTGACTCACAGAATACTAGAATGCAAAACCAAAACCAACATCGCATCGATAATTTGCTTTATGATTGGTGCCAGGAAGTCGAAAGAGGGGGCCCCAGGGAGGGACTCCCACAGACGGAGGGACTGCCCAACCATAGTGGGACTGAGGTCAGAAAACTTATGATTATGGTCCCTCCTAAACTTGGATATAATAAGTTTTTTTCTCCATTTCTTTTATAACTTTTACAAAAAAATTGGGGGGAAGAGAAGGGGATGGGAGCAGGGAGGCTTCTCCTTGAATCCTGCTAAGGTGGCGACACCAGCCTAAATAAGGAAAGACTTTGCAGGTGAAGAAAAAAAGAAATCTTAACACTACCTTGAGCCTCTAATATTAGTTCAATTTGAGCCAGTGTACTTGAGTTAACAGTTTGCGCTCCCTCAAAAGCCTCTGACTTCTCCACTGTAGGTACTATAAATAGTCACAAAATAGATAATATAATTATAAATAAGTATCAATAAATACTAATGAAATCCAGTCTAGTTACTATTTTACCTTTGAAAATTTGTATACATGTAATATTGCATAGTCTATACTTAATATACAATAATTAAATGTGAATTTTTGTTAACTCAAACACATAAATTTTAATTTACAACATCAAGTTATATCAATAGATTGATTTACCAAGTGGCTGTCCAAATGGTGCTGATAAAAACCCTCCAAAAGTTTGTGCAGCAGAACTCCCAAATGAAGTTGATGATTGTAAACTATCACTGGACACACCTGAATTTCAGCAAAAAAAATTGATAGAAAAATTAAAATGATGTATACATGGCATATGGTTTGATGGTAATTAATACGAAGCATGAATTCATCCTACTAAACCTGTTCAAAGTGTTAACACCCTAAACTCATCACCTTTGACTTACAGAGCAAAACTTAATATAAATTGATGGAATAACGAGCCCACTGGTAAAATAGACAGAATTTAAATTACTAATAATATTATAAAAAAACATAAAATAAAAAAAAATCTACAGTATTATTGATCTCTTTCAAAGGCTGTGACAAAAACATTTAACCAGATAAATTTACCAGATAAAGAAGGAATTATATCAATAGATTGATTTACCAAATAGCCTTCCTCCTTCCGCAACAGGTGTCGATGAAAACCCTACAAAATCTTGCGCTGCAAAACCCCCAAATTCAGTTGACAACTGTGCAGCATTAGCTGAATTTCAGAAAAAAAAACCAAAAACACTTGATAGAAAAATTTAATTGATGTAAACATGGCATATGTGGTTCGATAGTAATTAATACGTGAATTGATTCCTACTAAACCTGTTTAAAGTGTTAACATCCTAAGCTCATCATCTCCGACTCACAGTGCGAGAGTAATTTGTAAATAAAACAGGATTTAGCCACTCCATTATTATAGTTAATAATAAATAGTTTAATGTTGGTGTGGCTGGTAGGTGAACCATTTGCTATAAAATTCTCACATTAGAACAATTATGCTTTGAAGCTGTAATAAAATTCAAATTCAATTTATATGCGCATTCTTTAATCGAATAACCAAACAAAAAAACAAAAAAAAAACTGGTTCATTGACCATTTTCAGAAATAAGACTTTGGGACATGATTATAGTCAAATATTAAACTTTATAGTAACTATTTATAGCAAAAAAAAAAAAAAAAAAAAAAATTACCCTAGGCTATTTTTTGAGCTATATTTTATAGCTCATTTCAATCAACAACAACAACTAGAAAATCAAATAGAAAATCAATAAATAGGGCACAACGTCAAGTTTGACATGGTTAAGAAAATCTGTAACAAACAGACGCCAGAAAGTCCTGTTTGCCTGTTTACAAAAAGCGTAACATACACACACTCACTGTAGGGCTGTAAACATTGGTGGTCCTGTGTCAGGGACTTGAGAATTATAGGGCTGGGCTAGCAAAAAATACATTACAACTACATCCAATATTTAATAGCTGATATAAGGGCTAGCAACTATTTTAGCAAAACTAGACCTTAATAAAAAAAAAAAAAAACTTTTTACAGCTCTGATTTTCTTTTTTTGTCTCCAATGCTGTTTATAACTTTTACAAATAATTTGGGGGGGAGGGGGGGAGGGGGGAGTAAGGGAGGACTTCGAAGGTAAGAAAAAAAAAAAATCTTAACAGTACCCAAATGCATAAATTTTTTCCCAAAAAAAAGATGTAAATGTAAAGTGATGGTAAATAAATATAGCTGCAATTTTTTAATGGCCTTCATGATGTCATTAAAATTACACTGAACATTGTCTTCAAATCGCCAAAAAACCAATTTCTTGTTAAAGAAGCCTCCCACATTCAAATTAAAGTTAACTAGTTAAATCAAAATATCAATTTACCTTCAACAGAACTGGTACTCGGTGACCTAGTTAGTCCACGTGACCTCATGGCATCCCTCAATACTACACATTACATGAAAAATGAATTTCAGAAAAAGATTGTGAAGAATAATATAAACACATCATTCTCATGGTCTGATAATGAAATTCAGAGCCTGAAATCATCCTTCTAAGCCTGTTACAAGTTTTGGACCCTCTATCTGTGAAACAATTGTTTAAAGATTTTACCAGTTGCAGATCTAGGATCTAGTAATGTGGGGGGGGGGGGTGTGGATAACACGAGATGCAAAGCACAAGGTTTTGGAGGGGGAATCCTCTCCAATTTGAGATTTTTTTGGAATTAGTAATTGGCTATTAAACACTCTTATGGTTTACAGAGACTACTACACATAACATATATACACGAGATGCACACATACAAGATTTTTTTTCACTGCATTACCGAAAAATGGGGTGGGGGAGGTGGGGGTGCCTAGCTACCATATTAACAACCTGGATCCACCATTGAGAATACATCAATATTAATAATCAATAAATCAATTTACTTTGAAACTTGTCTAAACGAGTTTTCATTGAACTTCTTATTTTTAGTTTTGATCTAGTATTAAGTGGCAATACACCCTCACTAAAATTTGCAATTGAATTAAAAAAAAAATTGACACAAAAATGAAAAAATGTAGGTAATCAAATTTGAAAATTCCTGGAAAATAGCACATTGAGACTGTAAAAGTAGTATTCCCAAGTACTATTAACAGAGGCTCCAGAGTTTGGATTTTATTCTCCCATACCCTTTACTTGAGTGCAGAGAGCTACAATTTTATGGTTTACATCAACTGGTTTTATCACAAATGAATGCTAGGTGGTACTTGTGTATCTGTCCATTTTTACCTCAAGGAATACTGTGGAGTTGGAGATAGGCTGTGAAGGATGTGGACCAAATGCAAGGCGAGAAATATTTTACCAGAGAAAACAAGAGAATAAAACAATTATTCGATACATACTGAATGCACAGAATACGACACAAAGATACAGTAACTTATACCTGAGTCAGACACTTTGCTGGGTGATGCTGGTGGTGGTGAATGTGCTTTCTTAAGTGATCTTCCTACAAAAAATATTATTAAAAAGTATAATACCTTTATAATAAACTGTTTGAATCATGTTAAAATCTAGTTGCACAAATCAATTGTGGTTTATCAGCTGCTCTAGGGAAAAGTACTGAAATATTTTTGGAGGAAAATTGACCTATGTCAGTTCATCTAGATCTATATAAGTATTCACAATATGTTATTTTTTCTACTTAACATACAAATATATAAAAATTTAGTTATCTGTTTATCAAAACAAAAATAGCACTTTAATGAAACATGATATTATTCACATTATTTTTTTATGTCACTTGTACTATCTTTATTGCTATGCATCGTGCTATGTTTTTAGTTCCAGATTTTCAAATTTAAAACAATAATTTTTAACGATTTGGTGATGGTTTTGGTCTGAAGGCTGATTTTGTAACTTTTAAAGGCTGATTTCGTAAATACTGTTCTTTAAACTGCTGTAGGTTTAAAAAGTCCTGTAACTTAGAAAATTTCAGATTTGAATGATTCTTTTTTAAAACACTCATTTTACTGTTTTACTGAATTTTTGCGAGAAGTGACAGTTTGGCTTGACTCCGCCACATATACATACGTATCTACTAAACATCCCGCAAGAAACTGTGTCTACAGGTGTTCCTCAAATTGAAAACACCCGTAATTAAACATCATCTCTTTCTGTCAAGGGCAAAATGGTGTTGTCTGGATATTTAGAAAGTTCCTTTGTGGTTCGGTAATCCATGATTGTTTGAGTCTTCAGAGCTTGGTTTGTTTTTTTTTGAGATTATAAATGGCTATGCAAGACTCTCATTTTTCTATTGTTTAAAGCTCTTTATTGTATTTGTTGATACTCAATGTGTTTCTGAATTACTAAGGCTCTGAAAAGATCAATTGACCTTCAAATGAAATGGTTTTCGGTGACCTTACAAATGTACGAGGCCTCATGGCATTCTTTGATACTATACATAACATGGAAAATGAATTTCAGAAAAAGATTGTGAAGAAAAATACAAACACAATATTCTCATGGTCCGATAATGAAATTCAGAGACTGAAATTATCCTTCCAAGCCTGTTACAAGTGTAAATAACCTGTGTTTGCCACTTTGAATCTCATTGTTTATAAAATCATCTTGGACAGGGGAAGATTTGAGGGTGGGGGGGGGGACCAAAACCCTCACCCACCTCCTTTTTGAAAGTTCAAAAAAAAAAAAAAAAAAAAAATACAAATTTTAAAAACACATGAAAAAAAAAAAAATTATATGATACATTTTCTGGATAGTGTTTTTACTTCCTGTTTTATATATCTTTGGATCCGCCCCTGTTGGACTATTTAAGTGTTACCAATCATCTTCAGTTGACTAAAAGTTACAACTATAACATTATGGAATTGGGAGTTAGTTATTAAGTTTAATTAGTTAATAAATTTATTAACTAATTAAACTTAAGTCTGAGATGCCATTTTTGGCAATATAGAGGTACTGTACTTACAACATGGTTGGGCCTGACGTGTTTTTGACCCTCTATCTGTGAAAGTCACTGTCTGGGCCTTCTCTATTTTTAATTCTTGGATCCACCACTGATGGGTTTAATGTGAAATATTTCTATATATCTATATACCAGTACCTGAATCCATAAATGTGCTTACCAAGAGGCTTAGCTTTTAGTACAGGTCTAGGTGCCGTTTCCTTTGCATCAATAGTTGGTGCTTCAGCAGATGCCAAAGACTCCCATTTATGTACTATAGGTAAGTATTCACAAAACAGAAAATAAAATTACAAATAAAATTAACAAAAATACCCAATTATTTGTGACAATACACAAGAATCCACAGAAAACATTTACAAAATTTTGAGAAAACACTTTACAATTAAGTCAAATATTATTATTGTCCCTGTTGTTACCTTTAAATTATTTTGGATGTATAAAATTTAAAGCAATGGTAAATAAAATTGGCATACATCAACATTATTAATAAATAATATATCCATTTACTTTGAAACTTGTCTTGTTGACTAGAACTTGTTAATATTGGTCTTGGTTTAAATACTGCATTTAAGAAAAAGATTGACACAAAAAAAAAAAAAAAAAAAATGTAGGTGATCAAATTTGAAAATTCATGAAAATAGCACATTGAGTCTGTAAAAGTAGTGTTCCTAACTACTATTAACGGAGGCTCCAGAGTTTGGGTTTTGTTCTCTCAGACCCTTCATTTGTGTGCAGAGAGCTACACTTTTACGTTCAACTATCTTTATCATAAATGAATCATCTAAAGTGGTACTTGTGTAACTGTCTATTTTTATCTCAAATTATACTGAGGAGTTGGTGATAGGCTGTAAATGTTGTGGACTAAAGGCAAGGCAAGGAATATTTTACCAGAGAAAAAATCGAGAACAAAATTTAACATGATAACACGAGATGCAAAGCACAAGGTTTTGGAGGGGGAATCCTCTCCCATTTGAGATTTTTTTGGAATTAGTAATTAGCTATTAAACACTCTTATGGTTTACAGAGCCAACTACACATAATAATGTGTTTCTGAATTACTAAGGCTCTAAAAAGATAGATAAGTATTTTGGTGTGAATCTCAACAAGGATAACCCAGGAATTCTGAAGACTTGTTTTGGGGTCCTTCTGGTGGTGAATTGGTCTGTACACCGGGAGACAATCCCCTACTCTTTTCCAAAGAGTGTACTGCATTCTTTAACGTGCACATGGGCCATATTACACACGGGACCAACGGTTTAAACGTCTCAACGAAAGACGGTGCGCTATTATAACTTGTATTTCAGCCATCCAGCTGAAACACAATGGGAGGCAGCTAAGGGAATTGATTGATTAAAGATTTCCACGGTTCAGCGCACACACACAGTGGCTACCACCAGATAAGCTGACTGTGCTAAGCTGCCTCTCATTCTGAAATGGCGCTAATTACAAGCCCTGGATCCCTATCAGGAGAATGAATTGTGAATGTTTGTGAATATTGCACATGAGACATTATAAAAAATAATCAATATCACTGTCGCTTCAACTGTGTTACCTACTTTTTGTAGTCTTGCCTTTTACTTTTCTTGATTCTATAGAAAAATATTTGAAACGTTATTCACTGTACAATATATTTGAATACATGCACTCTTATTTCGATGCGAGTTTACTTCATGAAAATATCATACGAGTGATGTTTTGCCCTACCTGGCGTGTTATCGTACCGAATACTCAGTACTGTACATTTCCGAATACTTGATAAAAGTGATTCGGGTGGAAATCGAACCCACAACCTCCAGATAACTAGCCTGGTGCCATAACACTAGACTACCGAGCTTGTACTTAGTGAAATCCAATCGCCATTTAGCAGCATTATTTTTCTGAATTAGTGGGATCAATAATCTGGTAAATAAGGTGTATATACATAGATGTTTTTCTCCAAAATGCATATATTAATTTCTACTGTACTTAAACAATTCATAATATACTTTGTAATGTCTTCTGAGTCATATCCACTATGTCATTATATGTTAGACTCTAAAACATTTCTAAAGAGACTTTAGTTTCTGATTGTTTTTTAAAAAAAAATTTGATCAAACTCTATATCTTTATTAGTCAAAATATGGCCAAACATTGCTAATTGTTGCTAAAAAATAATAAACTTATACACTACAGCAAACAGTCTGTATATACTATTAAGATAAATGTGACAGCTACCTGTGAATTTCTTAAACATTGGTGTGATGCCCAAATATAGGTGTGATGCACTATTATTTAGTCCATATATGGGCAAATCATATATTTGTTACAGAGCCTTGGTACTAATACTGTAGAACTAAAGAAAGAGTGTACTATTGCTTTTGCATAATACTTACTAAGAAGTCCAAAACTTCCAACTGCTTCGGCTCCAACATATGCGTCCTTCTGGCCCATGCCCACCATCACTCCTTGATGACGAGGGCGCCCTATAACACTGGGTACCTCCATAGTGGGAAATGCTTCCCCAGCCAAGCCAGCTTTTAGTGTCAATGAGCCTGCATCAAGCACAACAGGTACATCTGTGAATTGAATATTAAGAACACTGAGGGCTACGTTCAACATATATGAATAATATTGCTTTATTCTGCTTGCTGTTTCTGGATTTTTACCATGCCCCTAATCACCTTACATATCATTCGCGATCAAGCAAACTCCAAATAACGCACAGAAGAGGACGTATCTTATAGATCTCTGGCAGTTTGGTCATGTGGTATAATAGTGCTATATTAAAATAATGCTGTCAAACATGTTAAAAGAAAGAAAGGAACTTAGATCCTATCTGGCATTTGAATCTCAACAATACTTCAAAGGCAAGTGGTTATGATGTTCGCCATGTATGTAAA